AGTTGTGAACATACTTAATCATCTGAGAACTGCAGAGCTGGAAGAGACCTTTAGATCACTGAGTCCAACCTCTGTAAAGGAGGCACAGTGGGGAATCTATGGAAAGGTACTGTAGATTGCAAGAGAGAAGGGAGAATAAATGTTATACTCATGGCAATATTTTTGAAACTGTATAAGAATGTTGGAACTATGTTATTCCAATAATTGGCAGAGCATCTGCTCATTAGAGTGCCTTTACTTAGTTTTCAAAGGTCTTCACTCCTCTGGGTGCATTGAAGCTACAAAGAGACAGTGAAAATAGGGAAGTTTGTTTTCATGAATCCCCATTCATTATGTGGACACTGCAATAATATAAGAAATGATTGGTTTTGGAATTAGCTACATAGACTTTTTCTTCCTGTATTTGTGCTTCACTTGGAGTAAAAGTTATTATGTTGGCTTTAGTCATGTTTCTTTGTGACACTTTTTATTTTCTTAATATTGCAACTTAATCGTGTGCTTAATCCTTGTATTTTCTTTTTTTAAATTAGAAGAAAGTAGTAGGTCTGTAAAAGCATCTAACTTGTACAGCATTTTTAAAAATAACTGTCACGTTCCCGCTTGCCCCTTGGTTGTTTCACCAAACAAAGGCACAAGCCACGTGCTGTTCGGCTGCCAGCTGTAACCAGTTGATTACATCGAGATTAGGCATCGTTCAGTCTCTATGGTAGCGTGCTTTGTATGGACGACTTGGAACAGCCTCTAGTGTAGCTGAGATTACCTCAACATTTTTCAATATTAAAGACAGCGTTTCAGTCAACGTGTCATTTAAAAACCAAGTAGAAATTGTTTATTGTTACAAGAAATAAAAGTTCAGTCAGTGTTGTTAGTTCTCAACTAAAACAATATTCCTTTCTATTCTCTACCACCCTCTCACTCTTCACTCCAAACTCCTAACTCAAATGCCCTTCCTCCTCTTCTAATCTCCTTCCTTTTTCTTCTCCCTCCTTAACTGCACCCCCGAACAACTCCCATTGGTGCATGCAAATCTCAACATGAATATTGATGAGCAGGGTGAACGCTACAATAACTTATCTTTTATTTTTAGCCAAATGAAAGATGAGTACTTTTTTTACAAATTGTTTTCTCTAATCTAATGTTTATGTTATGAAATTGTCCATTAATTTTTTCCCCCTCTTGCATCTCCATTCTGAGCATTTCCACTTGGAAGCAAATCCAGATGATGCAATTATAATTTATTTCTCTGAGAGAGCCATGATTTGATAATATGTGGTTGATATTGTTCTTGACATGTTTCAATGACATTAAACACACTGGGATACAATTAGCACATAGCTTGCATCTAAACAACATATAAATAAATGCAGACTATGGAAATTATGGTTAGAAAATTAAAAGGCATATGCTTTTATTCTAGAACCTATCGAGGAAGAGCACATCTTAAACAAAAGCAATATAAAAATTCAGCTGAGGATTTCTCTGCTGCGATTCACTTGAATCCTCGCAATTGGCTTGCATACTACTATAGAGGTTGTATTTTGCGGAAGATTGATCCAAAACAAGCCCTGCAGGACTTCAGCATTTCTGGTATCACCCTCTTCCATGTACAGGCCAAACTACGTCAATAATAACAAGACTCAAGGAATTAGTGCTAACAACAAATGTTGACTCTGCCAAGATAAAACTGTGCCACACCTAATCTGTGAATTTCCAGACTCCACAAACAGATCACACAATTAGACAAGATAGAGTGGTAAAATTAGTTCAATGCAAAAAAAAAAGCTTGCCAGCCTCCAAAAACCCATGGGAACGCCAGATACAGAAGATGTCAGAAAATGGCAAAATCAAGATCTGGGAGGATTTTCAGATCCAGACTGATAGACACCTTGAACATAACACACCAGACATAGTAATAGAATGAAGAAATGTCTGGATCATTGACATTACAATTCTAGGGGATGCCAGAGTTGAATATAAAGAATTGGAAAAACCAACAAAATACAGAGATCTGGCAATGAAAACATCTTGTGGATGAAACACATTTCAGTGGTCTTTGTAGTTAATGGGGGTTTGGGAGCAATATCAAGATATTTCACATAGTATTATAAGCAATTGCAGATATCAGAAACAACATCATCAGAACTACAAAAAAGACAGTATTAGGAACAGCATACATATTGTGTCAATATTTAGATTTTTGGTTAAAACTTGTATCTGTTGTGTAATACCAGTCAGTGTTTTCATCATTTTGATTGTGCCTGGTACTTTTGAATAATAATCTTAGAACTGCAGGGACCTTATGGATCATTGAGTTTAGTCCCCATCAAGGAGGCACAGTGGGAGATTATGATGGAGGTGATTTAAACAAAACATTAACAGTTTTAGTTAGATATAGGTGGCCCACATTTTATCAATGTGTATTTAGCCGGCTTTGGTTGCTGTAGTTTAACTTCTCAAATACTGCACTATGTGTATATATGAGCAAATGTTTCACAACAAACTTTTGTTTGCATTTAATTCGTGTAGATACTTTACAATTCTTTCTCATCATGTTAAAATAATGTACTTAATATATGGATACAATTGTATCTCTTCCACTACTAAAAATAAAATAAAATAAAAATCAGACCTATAGTTTTGCAAGGAGAATGTCTTGTGGCAGAACAATACAGTATATGACAAACCAAGCAGAAATCATTTAATAAAGGATGAATTGACTCTTGTATACTCGGAGAAGTATACATTATTTTTTTAAAGATGCAATGAAGGAAAATCTATACAATAAGTTAAATATCTGCCTTTTCTCTTTTCCAGTACTTCTTGATGACAGTTATGACAATCTTGGTGCTTTCCTTCACCGTGGAGTCTTGTATGCAGAACAGAAACAGTGGATGCTGGCAATCTATGATTTTAAAAGTGCACTAGAATTGGACAGGTACATCTTATTTCCTTCCTTGCTTGCTTAATTTTTCACACTTTAGTATAAGAACCTTTAGAGTTAATCAAAGTTGACAAAACACAGTATAATAATAAATTAAGATAATAAGATACAATTCAAATTAAAAGAATGATAAAGAATAACAAAAAAACTTAGTAACTTTTACAAATGTGTAATAACAGCAAGAAAAAATTTGCTTCATTGAGGGTGGAACAAAACAGTCTTATCCTATATTCTGAAATTGGAAACAACCATAGCTAAGCTGCTTTCAAGAGAAGTCATCCCATGGAATCAGGTCACATTAAATAATTTTTTATGTGTCATTCTACAGCTGGGGATCTCAACTTGCTCAAAGAGATTGTATAACTTTTTAGAACTTTATTCAGGGAATTCTTTTTCTCTCTCATCTTGGGCAGAGCGAATTGTGGTCTCTTCACCATGCATGTTCCAAGAGTACAACAAGCATCTTCCTGTTTAGACATCTTCCTTGTATTCAGTTCTCTACTCAGTGCCATAAAAGCATCATTGAAAGTTTTTATTTATTTATTTAATTTATATGCCGCCCACTCTACCCAGAGGTCTCTAAGCTGCCCAGCCCCTTTTCTTCCTTCTTTTAGAAAGTGGTCCCCCTAATTTATCTTCATTTTTAGTTGTGTGACTTTTTTTTGGAGTGCCACGATTATGTAAAAATGTTTTGATATGGAGGGGAGAACAGTATTGGTTGGATAAGTCAACAGCAACATGAACACACTACAAGACTGCATCAATAGATGTATAGTGCCTAGATCAAGGGAAGTAGCAATACTGCTCTGTTCTGCTTTGACTAGACCTTACCTGGAATATTACACCCAGTTCTGGGCAGCACAGTTTTAAAAGATTGAGTAGCTGTAATGTACAGTATGCAGAAGAGATTGACTGAGATGGTGAAAGATATGGAAACCAAACTCTGAGAAGAATAGTTGAAAGAGCTGGATATGTTTTTTTCCTAGAAAAGACTGAGAGGTGGTGTAATGGCCATCTTTAAATATTTGAAGAACTGTTATGAAGACAATGGAGCAAGCTTATCTGCTGTGGCTACAGATTCAAATTGCAAGAAAGAAACATTCATATGAACTATAGCCATTTATTTCCTCCTTCACTAGGGAGTCTGATGTGATGACCCTTGGGATTCGTTCCAGTTCCACAATTCTATGCTTCTATGACATATCCATTCCCAATAATTTATTAAATAAGCATTTCTCATATCTTTGATAAGCCAGAGGAAAAGCATGGAAACAAAGGAATACTGCTTTGCCGATTAAGCACATTCTTGTGCTGGCTTATGAAAAGCGAGCTACAGTATTATTGAAATTATTCCAACTCCTGCCATGACTTTGAGCCTATTGTATAATATCTCATTGCTTTTGTATTTTTATGTTGTACACCCAAATTTTTAGTAGTAGTTCAGACCAAAGGTTCAGTGTTGGTAGAAGGTATCAGGAGGTCTCTGATTATCCTTTGTGATGCACTGTCCATATGACTATCATGGGACACTCTGTCTGCATATATTGCATTGCCTGGTTTATTCCTCCTACGATGTGGAATTAAAACAATGCCACTGAAAAAAGTGGAGGGTGGAGCGTAGATGGCAAGATCTTCTTATCAGGAAGCTTTCAGTTATACTATACCACCGCTCAACAACAACAACAAAAATCCATGTTAACCTCAGGTCTTAAGGTCTATCAGGGAGACCTTCTTTAAGGTCCCATCACCTTTACAGATAGTTAGATGTCTTTTTAATGTTTTACATTTCTAAAATAGTTTTCAGATCAGTGTTTTCATATTACCATGTTTAATACTTTTTAATGGGTTAGATCTTTTGTTTTAATTCCTATTTATTTGGATGTTGTGAGAGCCTCCTTGAGTCCTGAGAGAAACTGACATAAAAATGCAATAAATAAATCACATAAATAGAAGCTTATTTATTAAAGATTTCTGCACAATTTCTTCAAGGTTATTGAACAGATCGTTGTTGTAAGTTTTTGGAGCTGTCTGGCCATGTTCAGGAATGTTTTTTTTTCCTCGTAACGTTTCACCAGTCTCTGTGGCTGGCATCTTCAGAGGACAGGAGTTAGAACTCTGTGTTCTAACTCCTGTCCTCTGAAGAGGCTGGTGAATCACTTTGAAGAAAAAACTCCAGAACATGGCCAGACAGCCCAAAACACCTTCAACAACCGAGCCATCGCATCCTGGCCGTGAAATCCTTCAAGAATATTATTGAATGGAGGGTTTTTTTTCCTTTTAAAAAGGAAATGCTGATTTCTTAAAGGGAATAGAAATGGATCTGCAGTAAAAGCTACAGCAGCATGCAAGCAAAACAAAAACAGCAACAGTGTTCTAGCAGAATACTGTAGTTCATTCCAGTTTTCCTTCCAAGATTATTTAAAAATCATTGAAGAAGAGACGTGGCTTTCTAAACATGACTGCATGCATCCCAATAAACCATTTAAGCATTTGGCACCTAGACAGAAAGAGGGGACTTCCGGCTTGACGTCGCGACGAGACAGCAGCAGGAGGGCAGAGCTCTGTCCCCTGGGCTGAATTCTGACCCGTTTTGGGACACCGTAGGGTGTCGGAACCACCCTGGAGGGGTGGTGAACTGGGGGAGAAAGCCTGTTGATCACGGGGGGCGGCGGCCACTCCGGTTCGATCCAGGAAACTCCCTAATCAGCCAACGGGCAGAAATAAGCAGCTTCGGTGAGCTTCCAAGTGACTGGCAGCCGGCTGAGAGAAGCAAGGAACAGCACCTGGCATCGCTGTTTTTCCATTGGGTGAGAATCTTTTTACAACTAATTGCCTACGTACCCCTACATATGGAAAAAAAGAATTGCTATCTTATCTCAGTAACTTTTTAAAGCGGCAGAAAATCTGGTGAGAGGGATAGCTGAAGAAAGTAACTTTTTAAAATTATACTTTAAGAATATTTACAACCTGGCGTTATAAGCTTAAGAGACCTTCCTGCAAATTAAGTGCGGACATTGTTTTGACTATCCAGAGCATTTGGAATGATTCCCAGAAGATGTGACCTTGAATATACTGTTGTTGCTTAAGTCTGAAAAACTTTATTTCCTCGTGAGCTTCTGGCTGGAATTAACCCTAAAGTGGACTTTTCAAAAACTGTTCCTTGGGTCGAATTTGGTTCAAATTTACATAGCCAAAGCGGAACTCTTGAAATGACTCTGGAAATTTGGAATATCTGTTTATAAGCATCTAGGCAGCAGAAACA